TGAAATTACCTGAACGTGACTGGCATCTTGTGCTCTCCCAGGACGATTTACAGTACCAGCTCCTAATACGGCTCCTGTACCGAAAAATCCGACAAACGATTTCTCCCGATCTCTCGATGTGAGTGGCTGTTGATGCAAAGCAATTTTCGATCCATTAGTGCATGCATTTGCAACTCTTTCCGACTAGAACAACACGAATCAAATCGGTTGAGTTGCAAATGAATAAAAACTACAAAAGAATTTCGTTCCCTAGCTACACTAAGTGAAACATTACGTATATGCACGTAAGTAATCACCTCTTCGACAGGGGCATCACATATACGTTGTTCATCAAATTTGCTGGCATCACGAGTTTTGGGTAACAGATCTGGCAAAGCCAAAGGAGCATTACAGCGAGAGGAAGAAACCTGTAATGATGCTTGTTGAACAAAACTTCCAATGGGTCTCAAAATTAGGATGAAAAGGAAATGTTTGCTGAATTCTCAAAAGAAGTGTGTATAGGAAGTGTGCAGTAGGTAGCTTATACCAAAATCAACTAACAGTTGGGAGAAGAGGATTGGTGGCCGATGATCGCCGTACAGAAGCATGAAGCTCGTGAACATCGTCTTCGCTTTCGGATGAGCTTTCACCCAAACCAAATTCGGTCGGTGGAGTACTGGAGGATTGCTGCAATACAATAGGTGAGAGTGGTGCATAGGATACCACAGTCTTCGTTCCACGAAATTTTATCATTGCAGTTTTATAAAACTTTCGGCATATAATGCTAAATGAAAGAAATGATCCAAAATGGCTCCTCACATCAGGCATACTAGCAGCCTTCACCATGCTAGGTCTCAGTACCACGTCCTTGTTTCTCTTTTGAGGAGGAAGTGTGTCCTGATTAGAGATGTCGGATGGTGGAGAGCCTCCCGTTGGCGTTGGAGGTAAAGGCTTGTTGGGACCACGCAACGTTCCTCCTCCCAACGAGTCCTGAACGAGTAGATACGCGAAAGAGATTAGTAAGGAACTTGGTGATATGAGTGTGACTAAACATTAATTTGCTGTACGTGGAGAGACCACTGGTTATTAACATTGTACTCACATCATCTCCATCGTTGACACTTGCGATGGAAGCATCACGCGGCGGTGGAGCAGGAGGAGGAGGAGAAACGCCACCACTGTTTCCTGTAGAGCCACCCATTCGCGATAATTCACAAGCAAGAGCATCCAGGTCCTAGGTCAATAACATTGAATGATTTCACATATTCCGAAAAATCGGGAGATAACAGAGTGCTCTTGCGATTTTGATTTTATGATGAGCGCATATGCACATCTGTCTCCTTCACAAAAACATGCACCTTACTTCGGGCCTAGATTGTTGTTGATGGAGCACCGGTTCACTCAGTTTGCGCAATGGACTGGCTATGATGTTCGCTGCTACACGTGCAACTGGCATATC